TGACTCAGTCCAGCTCAAAGTTGTGACTTGGGTGTGGAATTTACTGCTGCACCTGTCGGCTGGTATTCATATCGTTAATTCTCAACTAGTGGGCGACATACCGTCCGGCATGACCATATGTTTAGAGTCAGAATAGAGCATCACTGTGATGATTTGAGTGGATTGCGCAAAAGGGAGAGTATCATAAATAGAGGGGCAATATCTGATGCAGACTCGACCACACATAAACCGGCATGGGGAAGGGGACAGTTGCCAGGAGTTTATATTACATTTGGGGGGGACAAGATTAGATCGTTAAGGTTTGAAGTTGCCGGGCAATACAGAACGAGAAGGATGGTAAAGAATCATACTGCATGGTTCGTAGAAAGCGAAAGTGAGGATTATAAAAACAGAAGAATCAGCAATACGGATAAACGGCTATGGGAATCCATAGTCGTGCCATACACTGGATCCGTGAAGATTCACCGATGTCACTGCTGGAGTATGGTCCGGAGTTTGGTGCCAACACACAAGACGGAGCGCAAACTGTACAGAAACTGCCTAACTTTGTGAGGGTCTTTGAATGAAGGTCAATGAGATTTTTATGTCCGAAACTAAATGTTCAGTGATTTAGAATGAACGGGTCCCGGGGACGGCTGGTGCCAGGTGAAGATTTTTTTCGCAGTTGTACATAACGCAATCAGTGAGTGAGAGCATTGTCAAAAGTATGAAGTGAATAATTGAGGGTATGTTATCAACCTAATATGGCAGTACGGTGCCATCATTCCACCGGCATACTTCAGTTTCTGGACAACCCCGTGAAGGACCTTGAGGTTTTTGGGCTGAAATGTGCAATTTTGTGGGCGGTGCGAGTTTTTGGGGGTTGGTCCACGGAATCAGCTGATGTAGAACAAAGCCATTGTAAGGTTTCAGGTATTTTCTGGCATAAAGCGCCATTGTAAGGTTTCAGGTATTTTCTGGCCCGGTTGGGGATCATCTCTGGCATAAAGTATTTATCAGATGGGGTGAATAACAGCCAACCGGGGTGCACGAATCGAGTGTAGCCGAGATTCGAACTGGTGCCACTTTTGTAGCGACGTCAGTGCAATGAATAGGTTTGGCGGAGAGATAGCGTTAATGCAAAGGGCTAACCGAACACCGTATATAGAACTGAACTTTTGGAAGAGGCAAACCGAAAGTGCAGCAGAAAACCAGTTTGGTCAAATCCGAATGGGGTCGGAATGAACTTGTCCAAGATGCGGTCAGGGCCAGGTGAAAAATTTGCTCGTAGTTGCAGTTACAGGCTTCAGTGGGAGAGAGTTTGCATCCGAGATTCTGAAGAAAGTAGCTGCGGGAGTGTCACCATACTGGGTATGGCAGTGCCGTGCAATCATTGCACCAACACACTTCGGTTTATGGACTGCCCCGTAACGGCTGTCAGGGATGAAGAAATTGGAGAGGGGATACGCATTTCCGTGGCAGATGAATCTGGGTAAGCAAAGAAATTGACCAGATTTAGTCAGGCCAATTCAGGGACACGGATAATTTCTCTTCAGCTGGAGGACCTTGTGAGTGTGGACCGGCGACCAGCCAGACTGAATGAGTATCGATTGTCCGGGGAGTTTGGGCAACTACAGTCGACGTTTTAAGCCTGGGAATAGGGGGTATGAAGAAGGGATAAATTGACAGTAGTATCTTCCAATGAGCGCCAGGAGGGACGAGATAAAACAGTTTCAATAGATAAAAAATTTGAAGGGGAATGATAACACGCTAAATGGACCCAGAAAGGGTGGACTTGTTAGCTGCCCCAGGAACCCATTGCTAGCTGAGCCAAAGTAGGTGCTTAATTTTATTAAATTAAGGACTTTGTCGTCGAGGTGGCTAGCAAGCAATCTAGCCGTTAGATTGGGTGGAATGTGCAATATTATGACAGTAGCCTTTATTTTATAAGAACACATCCGTGTAAAGTGTCAGATAAAACAGGTTCAATAGATAAAAAATTTGAAGGGGAATGATAACACGCTAAATGGACCCAGAAAAGGTGGACTTGTTAGCTGCCCCAGGAACCCATTGCTAGCTGAGCCAAAGTAGGTGCTTAATTTTATTAAATTAAGGACTTTGTCGTCGAGGTGGCTAGCTAGCAATCTAGCCGTTAGATTGGGTGGAATGTGCAATTATATGACAGTAGCCTTTAGTTTACCAAGAACAAATCCGTGTAAAGTGTCACCGTTAAGCAAAGAAGCGTTGCTAGCTCTAAATGCTTTGAGGGCTGCTTCCACTTGAGACTTGATGCCATTAGCTGTCGGGAGTCTGTGTTGGTTGAGTGGAACCTGCCGTCCGGAAACACGACCGTGTGCGCCGGCGGGCCTTTGAGAGAGCAAAGGGCAAGCAATCGGTTTGGCCATAGGTGTGGGGCCGGTTGAATTGACGCCAAGCGGAAGCCTATTTCGCGCCTCCCCTTAGAACTGCTGTGAACCTCTAGAGGGCGATCCTCAGATTGAGGCCTTATCGTTTGTCATTATTTTTGAATACCGACAGCTCGCTTCAAGATATTCTGCGGGGCAGATGAGGAAACGCTGGCTAGAAACTCAAGTGTTAGCTTGCTTCCCTTTTGGCATAAACATTCTGCGTGAAGCGACGCGTCTTCAGGTTTTGTGAGGACACTACCTAATGGTGACTGTGCCAGCTTCGTTGGCGTGATTTTTCTTGAGAATGACCCAAAGATGATCAACCTGCTCTCCCTTACGCGCCCGTCCACAGGAGACCCCGTGGCTAGCTTTTTTGCCGCGTCTAAACGCCGGATAAACCTCCTCGGAGATAAAACAGGTTCAATAGATAAAAAATTTGAAGGGGAATGATAACACGCTAAATGGACCCAGAAAAGGTGGACTTGTTAGCTGCCCCAGGAACCCATTGCTAGCTGAGCCAAAGTAGGTGCTTAATTTTATTAAATTAAGGACTTTGTCGTCGAGGTGGCTAGCAAGCAATCTAGCCGTTAGATTGGGTGGAATGTGCAATATTATGACAGTAGCCTTTATTTTATAAGAACACATCCGTGTAAAGTGTCACCGTTAAGCAAAGAAGCGTTGCTAGTTCTAAATGCTTTGAGGGCTGCTTCCACTTGAGACTTGATGCCATTAGCTGTCGGGAGTCTGTGTTGGTTGAGTAGAATTTGCCGTCCGGAAACACGACCGTGTGCGCCGGCGGGCCTTTGAGAGGGCAAAGGGCAAGCAATCGGTTTGGTCATAGGTGTGGGGCCGGTTGAACTGACGCCAAGCGGAAGCCTATTTCGCGCCTCCCCCTTAGAACTGCTGTGAACCTCTAGAGGGCGATCCTCAGAGTGACGCCTTATCGTTTATCATCTTTGAATACCGACAGCCCGCTTCAAGATATTCTGCGCGGCAGATGAGGAAACGCTGGCTAGAAACTCAAGTGTTAGCTTGCTTCCCTTTTGGCATAAACATTCTGCGTGAAGCGACGCGTCTTCAGGTTTTGTGAGGACACTACCAAATGGTGACTGTGCCAGCTTCGTTGGCGTGATTTTTCTTGGGAATGACCCAAAGATGATCAACCTGCTCTCCCTTACGCGCCCGTCCACAAGAGACCCCGTGGCTAGCTTTATTGCCGCGTCTAAACGCCGGATAAACCTCCTCGCAGTCAGTGTACCCAGGATGGATAACGCAAGGTTCAGCAAAGAAAGTTCTTTATCAACTTTCGTCCAGGTCGCTGCGTATTTAGCGTTTGCACCCTTCAGCGCTGTAGAAACAAGCTCCAGTTTGGCGTCGGGTATTCAGATTAGAGCGGAACACCCACACTGCTCTTTTTGATTAAACAATAGGAATTTGGTTTCATTTTTGGTGGCTCTGTTCTTAGTTCCGGTTTGCATTGCGGGCGTCGGGTATTCAGATTAGAGCGGAACACCCACACTGCTCTTTTTGATTAAACAATAGGGATTTGGTTTCATTTTTGGTGGCTCTGTTCTTAGTGTTTGCTTGCATTGCGGCTGGCGCAGACAAACGGATCAGGAGATTTAGCTGTTTAGCTTACCTGGTCGTGCATTTGAGGTGTCACCAGGCCTTGCATGTGTGGCGTATCATACTGCGTCTTACGCTCGATGGACAGCCGTTTCGCCATCTCGCTAAAAGTTGACCGCACCAACTCAATTCTCAATTACGTACAAAATTCTGTTTCCATCGTTCCTTATAAGTCCGCGGCACGATCTGGTGTTCAACCCTGAGTATGACATCCATTACTGCCCATTGTACGCATCTGGGGCACCTTAACACCTTCACATGCTCGCATTCCCCACCGGAAAAGGTCTAACTCACTTTTCAAGAGCCTCTCGATTCTTCCGCTCCGGATAGTGTCCATCTCAAAATTATCCAAGAATATTCTGACAAGCTGGTCTTGTCACGCCAAATCCAGTCTTCGCACATCTATGCCCGTATCGCCCCTCCAAAAAATCTGCCGATATCCACTCTGCCAACAAAACGTCCCCTTAATATGATTCAGAAATAACATCCATATTCGCCTTCCTTGCATACTGCAGAAAGATGGAGGAAAGCACAGACCTATGCACNCCACAAACTACCTCAGTTTTTGCAACAAACTTTGCGATGATAAACGGTCAGGTTGCCCTGAAAAGCAGTACACAATCACATCCCCAGAGACCTGGCTCACACCAAATGTGTCTGATGCGGAGATCTTGATAGACGTTTACTCTGTTTTTCGACCTGACTCAAAACGAGAGAGGGGTGGTGGGTTGCTCTGTACTTAAATGTGGCCCTACCAATCCTGATTGTCCTCTCTGACACCACCCACGCACCCTTTTGCGATGCATTGTGCGTCCAAATCCCGCTGCGCGGGTCCGATTCTCTCTTTCTCGGCGTGGTCTACCGTAGCCCTTAGATTCTCCCTGAAGGTGACCAGTTCCTCATACAAACACTCGAGCAACTTTCCTCCAACTACCACTTCACTCATCTCCTGCTGGTAGGTACTTCAACGCCCCAAAGGCCTCCTGAATGGAACTCCAGCTCGTCGAATCAGGCGGACTTTTTGCAGCGGTGCTGTTTGAAGTCGTTCAACAGAGCGCTTGGACCCAACATGTCGTTGCACTCACCAGATACCGCGCAGGCCAACTACCATCCCTCCTGGATTTGGTAATCACCAACGAAAGACACCTCGTTGGTCAGGTAACAACTAACGCTCCCTTGGGACATAGCGACCACTGTGCTCTGACCTTTGATTTCATCTGCTATCGGGTCAGAAATCCAAAGCCTCAAATGTGGTTCCGAGACTTCTGCGGTGCAGATTTCTCAGGAATGCGCATTTTCCTT